AATATCATACAGAACTCATATGATGGATTACACTGCAAAATCGTGCATGGAGGACAGTTGACAAAGTCGTTCAAAGTGAAGACCGGTGTAAGGCAAGGTTGCTTACTCTCACCCTTTCTCTTTCTCCTGGTGACTGACTGGATCATGAAGACGTCAACGTCTGAAGGAAAGCGCGGGATACAATGGACATCTAAGATGCAGTTGGATGATCTAGACTTCGCAGACGATTTGGCCCTTCTATCCCAAACGCAACAACAGATGCAGGAGAAGACAAACAGTGTGGCAGCAGCCTCAGCAGCAGTAGGTCTCAATATACACAAAGGGAAAAGCAGGATTCTCCGATACAACACAGAATGCACCAATCCAATCACAATTGACGGAGAAGATTTGGAAGATGTAAAAACCTTTACGTATTTGGGCAGCATCATTGATGAACAGGGTGGATCTGATGCAGATGTGAAGGCGCGGATCGGCAAAGCAAGAGCAGCATATTTACAACTGAGGAACATCTGGAACTCAAAGCAACTGTCAACCAACACCAAGGTCAGGATTTTCAATACAAATGTCAAGACAGTTCTACTGTATGGGGCAGAAACCCGGAGAACTACGAAAGCCATCAAGCAGAAAATACAGGTGTTTATTAACAATTGTCTACGAAAAATACTTCAGATCCATTGGCCGGACACTATTAGCAATAACCTACTGTGGGAGAGAACAAACCAGATCCCAGTGGAGGAAGAAATCAGGAAGAAGCGCTGGAAGTGGATAGGACACACATTGAGGAAAGCACCCAACTGCGTCACAAGGCAAGCCCTCACATGGAATCCTGAAGGTCAAAGGAAAAGAGGGAACCAAAGAACACATTACGCCGAGAAATGGAGATAGACATGAGAAAAATGAACAAGAATTGGATGGAACTAGAAAAGAAGACCCACGACAGAGTGGGTTGGAGAATGCTGGTCAGCGGCCTATGCTCCATTGGGGGTAACAGGCGTAAGTAAGTAAGTAAGTAAGTATTGATCGAGGATAAGCCAATGAAAACAGGTGTTTCTGTTTCAGATGCCTATCACAGTTGATGGTTTATAATTAGCACATTTTAATGTTTCAGAAATGTCAGCAATTTGATATAGTTTGTAGAATATAAGTGAGTTTGAGTTACTTGACATGTCAGTTCACTAACCATGAAGTTTAACAGTGGACTATGGAGTCTCTATTATTAGCACTTGTATGGCTAACAATTACGATTTGCTCTAGTTATAACAATGGGGTGTAATAGTAGTCTCTGAATGATGCACAGACGTTCTATGATCCCCTTATCAGCTATGGTTTTGACTGTATCGAACGTCCGCTTAAACTACTAATGTAATTGATGAATTCATATACCCCAAAAAATACAACAATAACAAATAAGATGGGTTGAGCAAAAAATGGTCGTGGCAGTTGAAATGAATGTCAAATTCCAATGGTATAAAAATAATAAATCACAAACGTATTTGTAAGCTAGGTTAACATACTGTAGGGCCAGTGGAATTCCACTGAGCTCTAGCTAAATCATCCTGCAGTTGGGTCACTGATTATCGAACAAATCATCGATCCTCGTCAAGGTCAAGGACAACCAACGTGCATCAGTTAATCGTATGCCATGGACTGACTCGTGCGGCGGTCGTCTTACTTTCGCTTGTATCTACCTTAACTAATATATTTCTTTAGTAACGTCCACTGTGTTGTGCAGTCTTCAAAGCATCTATAGTACGTTGATATGGCATTGGGGTAGTCCACGTAAGGTGCTGACCACGAGGTGTAACTTTGTTGTTAGCCGGTTCGTCACGCCACTCCAGTCTAACTCGATTAGGCCTCCAGTTATTTTGACATAGACCGTCTACGTTGGTATATCTACAATACATTCAAATTTTGATGCTCTTGAGGATTAGATGGAAAGGTTCGAAATCTGGACTATGACCAAGGAAGCTTTTGACGATGTTAATATTGTGACTCATTTCCTTACATTCATCAGTAAAGAAGCGTGTAGCTCAATAAAATCTCTGGGATTTCTGGAAGTGCTTACTTCAATTTCTCATGTAACTCAAGCAGTTACTTCTAGACCATGTAAAATATACAAATTTCGAATGCAATAAAAGCGGAAGAATTCATAAAACGATTCATCATGGCATCGAAAATTCCACTACATTACTATATCATCCCAATCCAATGCGCATTCATGGTTATGCAGAAAATTCATTGTGAAGTTGCGATGCGGATCACGAAGATGGGCACAAGTTTGGTCAATATTTGTCCTGTGGCAAGTTTCACTAGTTTAGTTCATGTGTATCTCGTAATTTTAAATGCTTTGAATGTGGTAAGATTGAACACATTCAGTCAGTTTGTAATACTACTGTTTGTTACTCTGCAAGTAATGCTCAACTTTGAAATTCTGATCCTATTAGGCTGAATGTTCCAAGTACACCATATCTGATCAGATTCATAATATTATTTTAACCACATATGCGTTGTTCTCATGATTCATGTATTTCCAGTGAAATTGATTACAAATATGTAAGAGATATGTCGACTGCACCAAATCCTGATCTCTGATATTATTGTATCATATAAGGTTTGTCTTAATGATTCATATATTTCTGGTGAAATTTCTTACAAGTCTGAGGAAAATATGTTGAACGAATCAAATCATGATAATCCAAATACTCTTAATCATCGCGACACGGTTTATTGTAAATAACTCTTGAATTTGCGTGATGTCGTTAAATTTGTTTTTCCATTAATTTCATATAAATCTAGATAACTATTCACTCCATGCTTACATTACCTTACAGCCTATTTTTCTTCAAACTGATTAGTCACTATGTTTGCTGTTGGTAAAAATTTTAGAATCTTATTTCTGTTCAGCACTTGAATGCTATGAATGGTTGTTAATGTGTTATAATGGCTAATTGTAACTATAACTAATACGTTATTGATATCGATTAAGCCAGTAAGCTGAGTGAGAATACTAATCCATATTGAAATAAAATGATTCACTTGAGCATTAATCAAAGAAATAATAAGGCGATGTATTAACACAGAAAAAAATCCATAAAGTAATGGTGAATATATTAGAATTAACAACTGGCTGCGTTCCCTCAGTTCGTCTTATAAATAATAAATTGAGATCTAGGTTGGTGCTAGTCCACATATCCCCGCCAGTAGAATAATGTACCTAGTCCAATATTGTAGGCTTGCCATGATGTGATTATCTAACCTACATGACCTTACGTTTGAGCCACGCAAATTTGTTCAGTGACTCGTCACATCCTGACATTCCGAAATGTTTTTAATAGCCTTTGAGGAATGCACATAGGCTGAGGATAGAATAAAGTATTTGATATCAAGACCAAAAGCTTACATATAGTGGCCACATCTCCATGTTCTAGTAATCTTGTCTTAATTAAATGTCACCGAGTTTACCGTTTCTAATCTTCTCCAAGTGTTCAAAGGTTAGTTTAACAAATTCATTTACTGTATGTTCGACGTCAATGACCGTTCAGTTATGAACCGATGCTACTAAAATTCACTTGAAACTAGATACACTTCGAATACGTTTAAGGCATTATAACCCGTAAGGAAAACTTCGCGACGCTCCTAGATTCACGCGTCAAATTGTACATTTGAGAAAAAGATATTCTGTGTGTGATTCAATAATACTTGAAGAACGGAACAAACAAGCCATCTTGATGGTCATAGTCGAACTAATAACTTCAGAAATATTCAGAGAAACAGCAATGTTAGTCTAGAAAAGACATATTCTACATGAGCAACAAAATTTAACGAAATAATTAGAGATTTGATCGCTTAGTTTGTAAATTGGGCCAGAAGCACTGCATCGAGTCTTCTCTTTAAGAGCTTTTAGGGGATTGGTGAAACCGCCTCATTCGGCAGCTAATTCTATGAATGGACTATTCCTAGAGAAATGACTTGCTAATAGTCCAATTTGCTATGTTTTGAGCCTAACTTCTAAGTTTTGACTCAAGGATTTGTGTTGTAACTGAGCTAAGTACTTATCGCTGGGCTATGGCAAAGGCATCGACTGCTAACCAAATCATTCAAAATTCATGCTGCTGAATGTCAGACAGTTCATAATTTCCCATCAAGGATAAGGACGAACAACGCTAACTAATCGGTTGAACGTCATGAACAGGTGCATGTGGTAGCGGTGGAGCTCTGTTTTATTGTACATAATTTTAATAATATATTTTCGCGATAACGCTGTTTGTGCTAATGCAATCATCAAAGTAGCCTTAGAACCCCCATGCAACAAAAGGTTAATTAGATATTAAGTGAGATGCTTGACTTAGGTGTAATTTGGAAAGTAAAGTCACTCCCGTCCAACTGAAGTAAGTCCCCAGCAGTCGACATAGATCACTTACCCCGGTGATTGACATTTTAGAGAATGAACAATAGTGCTCAGTACGCTAATAGTCATTGAGTGGCCCATTTGTTTCACTAACAGAAATTTTGTATCTTAAGGAGCTCTCCATACTATTTGTATCTAGGCCTCCGAAGTGTTCTCATTTTTTTCACCCTTTGGGACGTTCCAGAGTATTTCAGTCATTTTGGAGTTAACAAGGAAACATTATCTTTTCATAATCAAGATCATGCCCAATAAAACTTCCGGAAATTAAGTAGAAATCTCCACCCGTAAGTTAAGTAAGAATGAGCTTAAAAGTTATCAGTTCAAGGTTTCCTCTAAAAGCTTGTTAACACATAGCTTGGAACAAGATCATACCCAACCCAATAACAAATAGAGTAATATCTACAGCCAGGTATTCACAAAATAAGACGGAACATAAGTCTTGTATTAGTAACGGAATGATCAAGAAGTAGTTAATTAACAAAGAATCTGAATCCAATATAGGATCGCAGTATGGAACATTGAAAGATTAAAACAAAATGAAGAACAATTTAGAGCAAACAATAAATGTAATAGCAATTTTTCGGAAAGGTGACTGGGTCACGAGGGCCTATATATAATTGCCTATATCTCAAATCCCTATCAAATATATTCAATAGGGAATCGATCAGCCGCTCGGCGCAATTTCCAACTGATAACTGCACGTATGTTCGTTGTTTTGTTCAGTGTTGTATCACTTGATACTTAATGATGCCTCCATTACGCAAAATGATAGCGAAAATACAAGTTGGATTCAAAGGCAAAAAAGTATCGGCTCTTCAAACGAACGTGACCTAATTTTACAAAATGGACACAAATTAAAGGGTTCGGGAGTCTTTATTCGAAAGGACCTACCGTTGGCAGACCGTGTTAAAAGACGGGAAGCCGAGAAAGAACTACAACATAGGTTAGACGCTGGCGAAAAGGACCTGAAAATTGTAAATTTTCGGGTTGTAAGACTTCGACAGAGAATGATGCCGAAGCCACTCTGGGTGAAGCACGAAGGCACCTAAACAGGCTTCGGATCTGTTACACCAATGCACGAAGCTTACTCAATAAGCGATCGGAACTAGGTGTACAGATCGACTCTATAAAGCCAGATATAATCGCAGTAACAGAAACCTGGCTGACACAGGCTATAGATAGTATAGAACTTGATTTCGAGGGCTTTACGTTAGTAAGGGCCGACAGAACACAAAAGCGCAAAGGAGGGGGAGTAGCTCTATTCATTAGGAATGCTATCCCATTTACCATTATCGATAGTGTATCCCATGAGAGTGGGACATGCGAGTTAGTTAGTCTTCGCTTAAAATGCAAGGGACAAGAGCTGCTGATTGGTTTGGTCTATCGCAGTCCAAGCTGTGAGGCAAATGAGATCCTGTTAAGCAGTCTCAATACTTGGTCCCAAAGTGGTCGATGTCTAATCCTAGGGGACTTTAATGCACCAATGTTAGACTGGGAAAATCTGCGAACTGAATCGTCAGAAAATTCCTTTGAGCAGGAACTAGTTGATGCGGTTATCACATGTGCCCTAGTGCAACATGTGAAAGAAGCGACTAGGTACGACCCGGACACTGAATCATCCTTATTAGATCTTATACTGACTCACTATGAGGATGATGTTGCGAACCTCCACCATATGCCACCCTTAGGTAAAAGTGACCACGCAGTTTTAACTTTCGACTTCCATATAACTGCCAGTCATGAGGACGCGTCAGTCCAGTCCAGACCCAACGTCTGGAAAGCAAACATACCAGAAATCATGCACTCAGCATCGTTAATAGATTGGACAATAGACCCAGAGTCCTCCATTGAAACGGCCTGGGACACATTTCGAAAATCATACTTAAAAGTTACCACACCTCACATCCCTTGGACTATACCAAAGGGGCCGAAAAACTCACCACCATGGTTCAGTAGGGAGGTCCGTATCCTTCTCCGTAAGAAAAGGAAAACGTGGGATAGATTTAGGTTACTGGGGACTGATGAGTCAAAATCTCAGTATCGAAAGGCTCGGAACACTTGTGCCTCGACCCTCCGTAAGTCTAGAAAATTGTACGAAGAAAAACTTGTTAAGGAATCCATAGAATGTCCTAAACGCTTGTATTCCTATATAAACCAAAGGACAAGGAGAAAAGGTAATATTCCTGCTCTATGGGGAGACAGTACTGCTTCATCACTAGTGGAGGACGACTTTGGTAAGGCTCAAGCGTTCTCGAACTACTTTAGCAACGTGTATACCATAGAAGCGCCCTTCTCGTCAGCGTATACAGATCCCCCCATACATACACTGGATAGCGTGACCATTAAAGAACTCGATGTCTTTGGTCTGCTAAATAAGCTTGACATAGGTAAATCCACGGGGCCCGATGAATTACATCCTAGGCTACTGAAGGAATTATCTAACTTCGTTGCGAACCCTTTAAGTACATGCTTCAACCTATCCGTTACGCAGGGTCGCTTACCGAAAGATTGGAAAAACGCCATAGTAAGTCCTGTCTTCAAAACAGGCACGAAACACAAACCTGAGAACTACCGCCCCGTTAGCCTAACTAGTGTGGTTGTTAAAATATTAGAAAAGATTATTCGGAAGGAGCTGTTTAAGTATCTCGATAAAAACCGGATCCTCTCGGAGAAGCAGCATGGCTTCAGAATAGGTTATTCTTGTCTCACTAACTTATTAGTGGCTCGTGAAAGTTGGTGTGCTCTTAAGGACCAAAAGCTACCTGTAGACGTCGCCTTCATTGATTTCAGTAAAGCTTTTGATAAAGTTCCGCACAACCGGCTGTTATATAAGTTAAGACATGTCGGGATTGGAGGTAATTTATTGATGTGGATAAAAGACTTCTTAGTTGGGCGTCAACAAAGAGTAAGGGTGAACTCAAAGTTATCTAGCTGGGAAACTGTGCTTAGTGGAGTGCCCCAGGGTACAGTTTTGGGGCCAGTGCTATTCCTCTTATATGTAAATGATCTTCCTTGTCTCCTATCATCATCGGTCTTGCTATATGCTGACGATGTCAAGATATGGAGAACGATACGATGTAAGAGTGATAGCTTAGAACTTCAAAATGACCTGAAGAAGTTATCTGAATGGTCTCAAACATGGCAGTTGCCGATAAATACTTCCAAGTGTGTTGTGATGCATATCGGTCATCAAGGCACAGATACATACACGATGAATAACACTGATCTACCTGTCGTCCAGACATATAATGACTTAGGAGTTATCGTTAGTCAAGACTTAAAGACTACTGCACACTGCCGTGCAATAGCCGCCAAAAGTTTTAGAACGTTATGGTCAATACGTAGGGCTTTTAGTCATGTCGACACTAAGACGTTTTTGACTTTGTATACAGTGTTCGTTCGTCCTAAACTTGAGTACTGCATACAAGCGGCTAGCCCCTGCTTTAAAAAAGACAGAGAGCTTCTGGAAAAGGTTCAGAGAATGGCGACTAAGCTGGTTCCCGCAATAGCGAAGCTTCCGTATGAATCTCGACTGGCCAAGCTGAACCTTTTCCCGTTGTCATATCGCAGAACTAGAGGCGACTTGATTACAGTCTACAAATTGCTTAGTGATAAATTTGCACCTGATATGCCCTCATTTTTCTTGTCTTCCAAAACAGAGAATTTACGAGGACACTCCAAAAAAGTTCATAAGCCGAGAACAAATTACTTGTCAGCTGACTATCGACTTTCCCATCGAATCATCAACGAGTGGAATTCACTACCTCAGCACGTGGTTGAGGCTCCATCCGTCGACTGTTTTAAAAGAAAGTTGGATCAACTGAGAGACCACCATTGCCAGGACTAACATAGGCCATCGAGCCTCCTGTCCTTCCCAAACTGAAACTGAAACTGAAACTGAAAAGACAGATTTCTCACTGTTACCTCTTCATTCTCGTGTATGTATATGTGCCGGCGAGACTATAAGTTCTGGACGAACCAATCAGATATAAGGTAACAAGTCACGAATTTGAGCGCGGAATTCAACCATACCTTTGGGTTAATAGAATTTTGGAATTATAGCTGATATCAGTTCGTGATGAAAACCCTAAATCTAATTTTTAACTATTCTGATTGCTTTATAACCCTTATTTAGTCCTAAGTAGTGGTTGTTAACTCTCAAGGTCACTTCAGCGTCGCTCCGCGAGCTCACAATTTTGGGCAAAATTTGACCCATTTTGGGGAAATTTCGGGGAAGCCGCTGTAGTAAACTGTGGGAAAATGGCACAAAAACGAAAAAATTTCCTCAAACTTTGGGGATTTTCCCCGAATTTGGGAGCTTGGGTCAAAGACCGTCCATGAATTATAGTCTCACCTATGTGCCCAATTTCAAGTTTGGAGAAACTTTCGGAGGATGCGACCAAAACCTTCGGAGTTTGGCTTGCCTTTGGCTTTTACCGAAAACTGCAGAATATTCTGCGGGAAATTCACTAAACGGTCGGGTTTCCCTCAAATATTTTGCCAGTTTGTAGAAGACTACGAATTTTTAAGGGATTTTGGGGAAAGCCATAAAAGTCCCCTATAATCATGAAGCTGATCTTAAGATCATTTGCATCAGAAGGTTTTATGCAAAGATTTAGGCAGCTTTTTGTTTGTGAGTGTGTATATATGTACTTCAACCTAATTGCACTCAAGTTGACATAAATCCCCATACTCATATAACATATTAGTTAGTCCAGCTTATACACTTGTTTTCATTCACCGTTTAGATGCCTAATCCACCTGTTTGCTACTACTATCAAGCTGGTTGTTGTAGAAACGGGAACGAATGCACCTTTACACACCCGAAGATACGTTGTCGTACTTTTGCCTCTGATGGTTGGTGTCCTTATGGATACAACTGTCGTTTTTGGCATGATCCGTCTGTGAAACTAGGCGTTGTCAACATAATCAAAAAGCCGTGCCAATTCTATGCAAATAATCAATGTAAATATGGTGATAAGTGCAATTTCTCCCATGATATTAATGCTCAAAACAATAGTGGGATTACATTGGAAGAATATCGAGCCACAAAAACGGTGACAGGCGTGCACATTAATATCGAAGCTCAGGAGTCTACAACTACCGAAATGTCACACGACAGACAGGATGGTATTTCCGACGCATCACTTACGTCAGTTGTAAAATCTAATCTAATCACAACTTCGTCATCTACATGCCTTAACAAAAATAATCGTAGCCATGTAAGACCGCCCTTCCAGAAATATGCTTCTGTAAACGCGATTGATTTTCAAGGAGCTTCAAAGGCTGAAATTTGTGATCTTAATCATTCTGAGCTGAAACGCCTAAAGAAACAATTTCCTCCAGACAAATTACGTGAAGTAGAATCAAATGAGAACTATCATATGTTTTGTGTCAGATTCTCCTCTACAGATCCCGACTGGGTTAGTCATTTTGTTGGTAAATGTAAATCAAACTTTACTGGTCACAGCAATAAATACTTTAGTTATTTCAGATTTGGGATTATCTTGACATTTCGACTCGCTTGGTCAAGAATGTCCCGAAATCTCGTGCTTACGACTACATGGCTATCCGTACAGTTGGGCCAAGAAATCCTGTTTTTTGTCTCAAAAGGTTTAGATAAATGGATACATGTAATAATATACGCCCAGCATCTTATATACTTGTAGAGGTACTGGGGTGTCTGCCTATTTCGGAAATTACTACATGGCTTAAACTTGCGAATCTTTGACTTGTCCCACCATCGAAAGTCAATTTTAGGACTGTGTTTTAAAATATACTCCATGATAGTCACAAATAAAAGCGTAACTACAAGACTAAGTAAATTACTGTTGTAGACAAGTATAACTTAGAATATTGTTTCTAGTACTAATAAGAGTAATTTTTAAGAAGCGACATACTGTCCAATATAAAGATAAGAGCTCCTCTCTTTTAATTTAAACCAAAGCATACTTTAATCCGATAAAATCGGAAATCTTACAATTTCTTTCTTGAAAGTTAACATATTCTATCTCTTATTTCGCATTAATTACTCAAGGTAATATCACAGTTGTTTTATACATTTCCTGAGTACTGCTGTATACAATATGTGCGATCTATGCGTCTTCCTGAATACCTCATTTTTGCTTCCAGAATATATTGTTACTGTTGCCTCACTATTTACTAAGTATATCTTATAAAATTTGTTTTTTACTTTGAGATTTTATCTGTTAGAGTTTTCAAAGAAACTTCTCAGTATGCTAACTTTATCGAATGAATAGTATAAAACGACTCTGTATTTCTAAGATCAGAGTGATAAGTATGTTATAAAAATACTAAGTAGTTGGCACGTGAAATTCTTTCACATTTGTGGTTAGAAAAATTTTGGGCTATCTTTATCATAGAACACCTCTAGCATCTGATATATTTTACGGCGAATGGGGTTTATAACGGAATTTTATGTGAGGTAAATGATCCCTCCCTCAACTAGTTATGCGAATGAAACGACTATAGTTAGTTCCGGACAAATCTATCCGTTATTAAATTTAGTATTACGGTTTAAATCAAGTATTGTAAATTGTAGGAAGTGGCACTTAAAAAATGTGCACGGAGAACTATCTTTTCTGAAAGTCAATATGACAGCACTCAAAAATTTGTCAATATCATTGCTTTTTTGTCTTTGGCTGATCAAATGAATTATCTATGAAAGAGTTCAGCTGGTGCACATCATCTAAACTTTCACTTTAACGGATGCAAAAAATGGTCAATAATTTATTGTATTGGATGTAGAATATTTTATGACTTTGTAAATGTAGTTTGCTTTCTGTTTAAATTTGCCTCGTGGTCAACTGACGGTTATTCACAAAACCCAGTTTCTGACATAAGCCTCTGAATAAATAGATCTCAAGAGACTGCACAGGTGGTTGGGAAAAAAACTTCGTTTTTGCTGAATAAGATAACACTTATGTACATATACGTACATGAAGATGATCGTAACTAAAAACCCTTTGAAACATTTTCGAATTCGGCCTGTAAGATTAAGACCTGACTGTCAGCGTCAGTTTACATCCGTCATATAATCTACATACTTTGAAACTGTTTGCAGCCTGTTGATTGCAATCACTACAGTTTAGAATTACGAACCTCCATGTAGTATGCTTGTTTGAATCTGTATTAGAAAATGTTGCACTTTAGATTGATAAATAAATTCACCTGGATGTATACTAATGTGGTTGTGTACGTACGTTTTCATAGTCAAAGCACCGGCTACAGGCAACCACCGATTCTTTATTCCTAATCTAGATGGTTAATAATTTGAATCATTTGCCACTTACGAATTTACCTACTCGGCTTCAAGTTACTTATTTTAAAGGCTAGTGATACTGTCTGGCTATTCAAACAAAAACCGTTTAAGTAGGGTTCAAAATTGTGGTCTTGTTTCCGGAAACTAAACAGTTCGATGAAGCCACTACTTTGTAATTCTACGTTCTATAGTTCGAGTTCCTTTTGTTGTGACTTCCTCTTGAGGTCGTCCACGTAAAATGTGACCTGAAATAATAGCTTACCATGACATCTGATATAATACTGTTTCTACTCGTCTTCTAGGTCTACGATGTTCGTGAGATAGTGTTGAATATTCTCATCCCACAAATGTATCCCAAGGAACAACTTCAAATTTCAGTGGTAATGCAAGAACATTTACCAGTGATCTTAGTTGAGTAAGTACTTATCTCTCTTTTTCAGTAATTTGCTTCATTTCTAGTGACCGTATGCATTTAAATCCATCCATATATTGTTTTTACGCAGCCATTTGAATAAAGCAATCGGTTCTTGGGTTAGATGTAAGCACCAATGTATGGAACGAATGAATCGTCTAGAGCTATACTTGCGTCCTCTCCTTTTGTGGCTTGATCGTAACTTGGAAGAATTATTCACTGAAGGATTACGTAAAGTAAGTTGATTTTTATGTTAATTACGGAACAGATGTTACTTTGCGTAGTTGTTTCCGATTTTCTTTCCTTATTCAAGCGCGCATACTTTTCTAATTGGAGATAAGTTATGTTGAAAATCTGACGCTCATGATCTACTCAACTCATTGTTGTATGTTTTTACTTGTTAACATCACCTTGATAATAGTGTTATCAAAAAATCACGGGTTTTGTCCTGTTAATTTCTAACAGTTCGTTTGTTATTTTGTTTGAAAATTAAACGTTAGACTAACTTTTAAATTGTTTATAAAAACGTTTGATTATCTATTAAGTTAAACGAAAGAATCTGCAGGGCGTTAACTTAGTAGCACACAAAACCAAACCAATAACTTCAAATGCCTTAGCCGACATACTGGCAGCATGAAATCAAACTGCGTATATTAATTCACGAAACGTGTGATCAGTATCCACAACTCACGATAACCAAGTATGTGAACTAGGTCAAATGATAAGATGTATAGCAAATTTATATTTGTGATCAAAGAAGTAGTAACAAACAGATAATCAGTCAGTCAGTTACAACATAGGACCAGGCGCATATGTGCATCGGTCCAAGTTTCCATACCTCATTGGCACAAAAAGATGAACACCGGATTCATAAAAGTGGTTAATTCATTGGTGGAAATATATGAAAGAAAGATTGCAATAAGGATATAGTACAGGAAGAAACAATTATTTCGTAGAAAGAAGGATATAAAGCGATTTTTATCTCATATTTTAAGGGAAGACAGGGAGTGTATACACCTACGCCATTGTGATCGATTCTCAGCCATGTCACCAAGAGTCTCCAACCATTGGTTACGATAGTCACGCGGACCCCAACAATGTAGTCTGCATCTACCAACATGGCTCAGACCAGAAGTTAGTGACTTCAAGCACTGATGCCACGTTTTAGTTTGGCAGCCCCTAACTTTCTTCCAACCATACTGAACACCAGTTAGCATTGCACTTCGTGGTAATCGGTATTCGGGCATACGTAACACGTGGCCCAACCATCTCAGTCGATGAAGATTCACAACCTCATCTACTGCATTAATATCATTCCCTAATACCCCACGTCTAACCTCACTATTACTAACCTGGTGATCCCAACAGATGCGAGCAATATTTCTAAGACATCTGTGGTCAAACATGAGTAGCTTACGAATATCTTCTACTCTTAGTGGCCACGTTTCGCAGTCGTAAAGTAAAACAGAATGAACTGCTGAGCAACATACTCGTTCCTTAATTGATAGAGGGTTATCTCGTGTTTGCCCGATCGTTGTTGCTACCTTGACATGGTGGTCGGGCTTGCCTGTCGTGATGAAGCAACCGAGCTATACTGTCCTACCATGTCAGACAGGTCGGTTGAAGAGCGGTAAGACTAAAAGCAGCAACTCAAGGTCTGAGGGCGAAGTCGTACTGCTGACTGTAGAGGGGTGTGACAGCAGTAAGGTGTTTCCCTCGGACAACCAGCATCTGCAGCGATGCTGCCTTCCCACAAGGAGGGGTGGGGTTAGAAAAGGTCGACCCTAAAAATGTCACACCTCACCTTACCTCACGGATTTTCGTCTCCGGCGGTAAGGCCTTTTGAAGAACGGAGCTTACACATAAAAAACCTTCCACGAGAAGGCCGTGCGCGACCGGCCTCAAGCAGTTGTCCCTTGTGCTCTGCGGTCACGCTTCCAGGTCGTTAAGACCAACACTAATCCAATTTCCTTTTGAAGTTCCCCAAGAAATACCCTTCCACGGTGTGGGCAGCCGAGAAGTGATATCAGCTCTCACACCCGTAACAGCACACGAGATCAAGCTGGTCACATTCAAATCCTTCCTACACCTCCTAATACCTCTCGTATCTCCATGACTAACCCTCCTCACGTCTCTTTATCATCTCGCGCCGTAGGGCAAACGACTGGAGTACGTGGAACGTTATTAATTGTCTCCTGAAACCACGCTCTAAACTACACGTAGGAGCTTTTAACGTTCGAACACTGTGCCAAATAGGACAGCAGGCTTCCTTAGCTAGGACTTTAGAATCCCGCGCCATCGATGTGTGCTGCGTCTCCGAAACGCGCATACAGGATCCGAGTAGCGTCATTCATTTGACCTCACCATGCCAAAATAAAGAACCGACTCGATTCACAATTCGTGTATCTGGAAGCCCTGATTCTGCTTCCCGTGGCCTCGCCAGTGTAGGTATAACATTGAGTCCTAGGGCAGAACTAGCTCCCTTAGAGTGGATCCCAGTAGACAGTCGTTTGTGCGCTGTCCGACTGAAAGGAACAGTAAGGATCCGAAAAGATAGGGACATTCGTCGTTGCCTATTCGTCGTCTCTGCCTAATCTCCCACTGACTGCAGCTCAGACGATGTAAAAGATGAGTTTTACAGAAAGCTCTCCGACCTTCTCCGAAAAGCTAGGTGCTCGTATGTAGTAATAGTGGCCGGTGACTTTACTGCTCAAGTAGGTAAACTAAGCGATAAGGAAAGACACTTGGATAGATCTTATGGTGTCGTGGCTCAAAGAACAGATAATGCCGACCATCTGTTGCAGCTATGCTCAGATAACCGCCTGTTCCTTGCAAATACTAACTTTAAGCATAAGGAAAAACATCTTTTAACATGGCGACCCCCTAATTCGTCCCAACGTTGGACCCAAATAGATCACATCGCTATCAGCCACCGATGGAGGGGCTCGATAGAAGACTGTCGCTCATTCTGGAGCACATGCTTAGATTCAGATCATGTTCTGGTACGAGCGCGTATTTGCCTGCGTCTTACCGGACGTAGGAATGACGCTGCAAGGAAACCTCTTAGGGGCCTACCTAATGATAGTCAAGCTAAGAATATATTTCAGGAACAACTAGAAAAACAGTTAGGCAGCTATGTATGTGATGCCCAACCCGAGGCAGCATGGAACGATATCCGAAAAGCTGTGGGAACAGCAGTGATATCTGCTAGTAAGGTAAACCACAAGGTTAGAGAAAAACACTGGATCTCAGCAGCATCTATCGCACTGATAGGTGCTCGGAAACTCATTCCACCTGGCTCTGAACATAATGAGGAACGGAGTCAGCTTAAGCGCCAGCTGACAAGAAGTCTACGCAATGATCGTGAACAGTGGTGGGTAGCGAAAGCAAGAGAGATGGAAAAGGCAGCGGCGATGGGCAATAGCAGACAATTGTTCAGACTTGTTAAGGAAAGCGGTATTAGGAAACCGACTGTTAGCGAAATACTCTCAGAGAAAGATGGATATATTATACATTCTCAATCCAGGAGATTGGATCGATGGGCAGAACACTTTAGGGATCAATTCAACTGGCCTTCAGCCACACTTCGGTTTCCCACGATCTCTAGTCAACCTGAATGGGAAGTTAATGTAGGTCCTCCGACTTTTTACGAAGTTGAAAAAGCCATAGGAAATCTGGAGCGAGGGAGAGCAGCAGGTCTTGACAGGTTTACCCGTGAGGTTTTTAAGGATGGTGGTTCAGTATTAGCAGTGAGATTAACTGAGGTCTTAGGTAGAATTTGGGAACTGGACGTAATCCCATCTGACTGGTCTCAATCACTGATTGTGCCAGTCTATAAGAAAGGACAAAAGTCCTCTTGTGACAATCACAGAGGAATCAGTTTGACTAATATAGTGTCTAAAATATTAGCCTCAATAATACTTCGACGCCTAATCAAAGCCCGTGAAGAGCAGATTAGAGAAAACCAGGCTGTTTTTCTACCTTGACGTGGTTGTATAGACCACATATTCACGCTACGTCAGGTCCTAGAAAATAGACACACATTCAGACGCCCCACAATGGTGGTATTTCTCGAACTTAAGGCGGCATTCGACTCTGTTGATCGTGAGGTTCTATGGCAGTGTTTGTCACTGAAAGGAGTACCAAAGAAGTACATTAACCTTATAAAGGCTCTTTACTCGAACACAATTGGTAGAGTGAGAGCTTATGGCGAACTGTCATCAGAATTGATTACTTCAAGTGGTGTTCGTCAGGGCTGTCCACTCTCCCCATTCTTGTTCAACTTTGTCGTCGACGTACTTTTAGAGATAACACTCTCCTCATCTAAATTTCCAGGGGTTGAACTTCTACCGGGAGGTTCACTTGTTGACTTAGAATATGCTGATGACAGTTTTATTTGGTGAAGACACTGAAAAAATGCAGAGTCTTCTGACCACTCTAATCAACAATGCAAGCATGTTCGGGATGCGATTCTCTCCCTCGAAATGCAAAATGTTGCTTCAGGATTGGGTGGCATTGACACCCGAACTAATGATAGGGAGTGAAGTAATTGAGCGTGTCGATCGCTTCACTTATCTTGGAACTCTCATCAGCCCTTGTGGTCTGATGTGTGACGAAATCTCAGCACGGATACAGAAGTCTCGACTAGCTTTTGCCAACTTGCGTCATTTATGGCATAGGCGAGATATCCGTCTATCAACAAAAGGACGTGTTTACTGCGCAGCAGTTGGTTCCGTCCTCCTTTATGGCAGTGAAACGTGGCCAGTAAGAGTAGAGGATATCCGTAGGTTACCAGTATTTGATCATAGGTGTCTTCGAAATATTGCTCGTATATCATGGGACCATCGAGTAAGTAACACAGTTGTTAGGAAACGGGTACTAGGTAAGGATGGCAAATCGATTGATGAAGTGGTGAAACTTCATCAGTTGAGATGGCTGGGACATGTGTTACGTATGCCCAACGACCGACTGCCTCGACGTGCGATGTTCAATGGTATAGGAGGAGGTTGGAAGAAAGCTAGGGGCGGCCAAACCAAAACATGGCACAAGTCCATGAAGTCACTGATAAGTGGACTGAGTCATGTTGGTAGGTGTAGACTACGTGGTTGGGGACCGCGAGATGATAGCAACCGATGGTTAGAGACCCTGAATGACATGGCTCAAAATCGTTTGCAATGGCGCAGGTGCATCCACTCTGTGTTCTCCCAAATTCTAATCTTCTGAATTCTTCATGTCTCTTTCTTTCTTCTCTTTCCAAATTTGTTTCACTGAATTATACTCTTTAAATAACATCTCCAAACCCTAATCTTTCCGATTACTGCTTATACTCTTACTACCTCTACCACTACGGGATTTGAATCGACAAATGCATCTCTGTGCTAATGTGGTCTGGCAACTCGAACTGATGTACGTACGTACGAAGTTCTACGTTGTTACTGACTGACTGACTTGCCTCGTAATGCAGTTTGATGATTTGCTCAATGTGTGTCCTATCCACTTCCAGTGTCTTTTCCTAATTTCCTGTCCTGGTAACCGGTTTGTTTTCTCCTATAGTATACTGTTGCTGATGGTATCCGGTCAACAGATACTGAGTATCTTGCGTAGATAATTGTTTATAAGTACTTGTACTTATTTGGTGATAATTCCAGTAGTTTTCCAAGTCTCAGCTCCGTACAATAGAACTGTCTCGATACTCGTATTGAAAATTCTGACTTTGATGTTGGTTGACAGTTTTTTTGAGTTCCATATGTTCTTCAACTGTAGGAATGCGATCCTTGCTTTCCCAATCCTCACCTTTACGTCTGCATCAGATCAGGGACGTGAAAGATTCCAATTCTTCCAGAGTTTCTCCATCAAGTGTGATTGGATAGGTGTTCTCCGTGTTGTATTTGAGAATCTTGCTTTTTCCCTTGTGTATGTTGAAGTATACTGATTTAGAAACTGTTACTACACTAGTTGGCTTGACCCGCCTTTGTTGATGTGTTTGGGATAGAAGGACCACGTCATCTGCGAATTCCAGATCATCTAGTTGCATTCAACCTGTTCATTTTATTCCGTGCTTCCTGTCAAATGTCGAGGTCTTCATAATCCGGTCAACCACCAGATAAAAGAGAAAGAGGGGAGCAGGCAGTTTTGTCTGACTGCAGTTTTCACTTGAAATGCGTCTGTCAGCTGTCCTCCATACACCACTTTGCAGTGTCGTCTGTCGTACGAGTTCCGTATGACGTTGAAGATATCAGGTACTCCATAGTGTTGAAGAAGGTTCCATAATGTTCTCGTATCCACTCTGTCAAATGCTTTCTCATAATCAAGGAAGTTGATGTATAGTGACGAGTTCCATTCAACTGGCTTTGTCTGTGCACGACCAATCCTTACGGAATTTAGCCTGATGATCTCGAAGCTGGATGTCTACTGAATCTTTCATCCAGTTCAACAACTGTTGAAATTTTTTCCTGTTACCGACGGTAGTGTGATGCCTCTGTAGCCCAGTTCTCACATTTGCTCAGATCTCCTTTCTTTGGCATCTTGATGAGATATCCTTCTTTCCAATCAGTCGGCACTTGTTCTTCCTCCCAAATCTTCCTGAATGGGGTGTGAAGCATGTTTGCAGTTACCTCTATGTCCGGTTTTAGTGCTTCAGCTGTTATGTTGTCATGTCCTGTTACTTTCGCACTCTTGATTTGTCTAATAGACATCCTGATTCCTTCGATCGTTGGTGGAGTGACATCTATAAGAAGGTCTGTGTGTGCTGCTTTGATGTCCAGCAGACCCAATGGAGCTGGTCTTTTCAAGAGTTCGTCAGTGTTCTACCTAACTGTTCCTCTGTTCCTAAATTTCATTGATTAGCTTGCCTTCTTTGTCCTTGACCGGTCTCTCTGGTTTACTATATTTCCCTGTAGTTTTTTCGTTGTCATATAGTATTTTCATATTTCCTTTTCTTGCAGCTTTTTCCTCTATCGTTGCTCAGTTTTCCACGTATTTCTGCTTGTTGGCTTTAAAGTTCTTCACTTGCTTGTTTGCTTCAGCATATTCAGCTTGTGCCTTAACTTTCTCTGCACTTCTTCGGCTATTGTTAATTTCTGTCTTCTTGTTCTTCCTTTCTTGAATCTTGTCCATGGTTCCCATAGAGACCCATTCCCTATGACGATGCTTGTTGCGACCCAGAACCTCCTGACACGTTGAAGCTAGTGCTCCTTTGATCCCTTTCCTGTTGTCCTCCATCATAGTTTCTTTTCCTTTAAGTAGATCTTGTAAGGCTTGCAACCTGTTGGTGACAGCTGTCTTGAATTCGTTGAGTTTGTTATTAAACCTTTGTAATGCTGCTTGTCCGATTGTCTAGTGCTTCTCTAGCTTCAGTTTCATTTTGGCAACCACCTGGTGTTGATCTGAATCTATGTCATCTCTTCTCTTGTTCCTCACGTCTTCCATTGACCTTCTGGATTTTTTACTGATGTAAATATTGTCTATCTGGTTTCCCGTGGTGTGATTTGGTGAAATTCATGTAGCTTTGTGTAGGCATTTGTGTGGGAATATAGTGCCGCCTGTGACCAGTTTATTGAAGACACATAGCTTCGCAAATCTTTCACAATTTTTGTTTCTCTCTCCCAGTACATGTCGTCCCATGATATCTTCACATCCAGCGTTGTCTGTTCCGACTTTGACACTTAGATCTCCCATTACGATGGTGAGATCCTTTCTTGGGCACATCTCTATGATTGATTGCAGACTCCCACAGAACTGATCCTTATTGTCATCGTTGCTATCATTATTGGGTGCATAACAACGGATAACACTCATTGTAATTCCCTCCTTTTGTTTTGAAGGATGCTTTGATGATCGTTGGTCATTTTATAAGTACATTTCGTACTTCTTTGGACAGTATCAGAGGAACTCCCTGAGTGTGTGGAGTATTTTCCTCTTCTTGACCAGAGTACCGCAGCGTTTCTCCCAAATTTATCCTTCGCTGTTCAGCTTGGGTCCCATGGGTTTCTCTGATTTCGAGCACCACCAAGTTCTATCTTCTCATTTTCGTTGCTATTTGACTGGTCGTTCCAGTCTCCAACATTGCCCGAACGTTCCATGTACTTATAAAAATTGTTGCTCTGGTTGTAAGAGGGACATCAACCCCGTGACTTTCGAAGAATCTCAGCTTTCATCATGAAGCGTCATAAATCTTCTTTCAACCCACAGGACAGGGATTTAATGGTTTAAGTTATTTAGTGTGGTTAGCGTTTTTTCAACAAGGTTCTTTTCTATGGGATTTAGTTGCCGATCACACCTTTACCCAGTCTTGAGACCGGCAGTAACCCTGTAGCGGACGAGAACACAGGTGAGGACAATCGAATTTATTTTTTAACACAAAATTACAGGACTTAGTAAAATCCGAGAACCATACAGTAAATACTTAGTGTCAATCAATTGTCTCAGACGTCACTGTTCCCTCGTTTCCACAGCAATCATTCTCTGTTCTCGTTCTCTTTTCTTCGATCTTCTTAACCTGCTGCCAGATATTTCACTTTCGATTCATGATACATACTACTTATATCTATCGACATCATTAGCACACACACCAGCCCTAGAAGAGCTACAGGCGGAGTTTGGTTTATATTTAGCAATAAATAAAAAACGAAAATTGTTTTTACTGTCGTTCCACCATTTAATTCTAATTGCTTTATCAATGTAATAAAGAAACGTCATTAAAGTGTTACTCCGTGTTTTTTTACGTATTGGCAAATTTAAATTGCTAATAATGATATCATTTTTCAAATGCTCAAATTTTTTTCAAATCAATAAGTCAGTGACCATACGTTAACCACCAACTGACGGATTAGTAGCCTGGAAGCTTGCAAGTGCGATTCTACCCACACGTTGTGGTGATGCATAAAATGGACGTATTTATTTTACTGCATACAAATTATTCTAGTTATATACAGAGGTGTTTCATGAAAGTGTCGCTTGTTGCATTTAAATCCAACTAATTTAACCGGTGTAATAGGTTTAGCTGTTCTTGTTTCATACAGTCCCATGAGCTATTTTGTTATGCTTTGTGTCTATGTTCTACAGTTATGCTCATATGTAGATTCTGTAGTGTTGAGTGGTGTACAAACATCGTTCGCAGAATCTTATTTTGTAACAAAATATTACTTTATTATAAATAGCTTGCAGTATAATGTACTAGGTAGGTATCATTACCAGGGTTCAACTTGATAATTTCGAATAAATTGGTCGCAGATAGTATTCTTGTTTTGTTCCTTTGTACTATTTAAACTTGATTAATATTGATTTTGTTATTTATTTTCTGAAGAAATGGCTTACAGTAAGTCACGAAACATCAGAAAATTTAATTTTTCTACTCATCGTGATATTACAAATATATTTATTTATTTATATCATACTAGGTATTTATTTCCTTAAAATTTCATATAAATGTGCAGATTCTTTTATTTTTTATTGAATAATCATAACTGATTTAACTATTTCTTTTTATTTTCTCAAGTATAAAGCGTTTATAGAAAATGGAATTTTGGATCCAGACTTATCTTCATTGTTAACTAAAAATAATGCTGATGTTATTTCTCACTGCCAGTCAAGTAATAAGGATAATGACAGAAATTCACTATCGAGTTATAATAATGCAACCGGTTCGACTCCTATTGTGCTTGACAGGGAAATTTTAGAAGATCTTAAATCGTTCAGCCTTAATTCATATTCTGATAGTAATCCATCAGTTGTTGAAAGTGATAAGACCCTATTTGAAAGTGAAATAGCTAGCAGAAGTAGAGCTTATAATAACTTTCTAACCCATTCAGATGAAGAAATTGTACCTAAAATATGTAACCTAACAAAAGAGAATGATTTTCCAACTGACTCACTATTAGATCATGATAGTATGATTGGTTTAATTCCTTCTGTTATACCGAAAGACGAATCAGAACAGACACACAATGGTGATCAAAATTCACATAATGGGGACCAGTTGTCAATTGGGAGTGATAGTAGTGTTAGTTCACAAACCAGTGAATCGGTGTTAGAATATAGCAGCACTGATGAGAATGAGAATGATCCTGGTAGTGAGTGTGAAGTTGTTGGCGATCCGCAAGTATCATGTGGAAATCTCCTTAGTTCTTCTTCACTAACAACTCCCGGTACCCAGAAATTATTAATGAGCGGTCTTAGGCTATTGGGTAAAGCAGGAACATATATACAACGTCGACTTTCTGTTTCTCTTCATTGTACGCGTTGTCGCTTATCTTTCCAGTGGCTTTTCACTTTTCATGGGGCTCGAGCTATGAATAATTTTAATGATCCGAATACAGCGTGTAGACTTTTGCGTTCACTCCCACCATACACAACTCATTGTGCACGTTGTCATCAAAAATTGACTTTACTTTTCCAGTCTAGTCTAGCACATGCATTCGACAACAATATTGGAACTCTACATTTAGATGGTTGTATTGCTGACGATGTTCCACCGAAACAGTCTGATGGTATTATTTTGTGTACTGGATGCTTCAATTCAGTGCGAGTCACCGTGAGTTTTTTTGTGCTGATTTTTTATTCGTCATTATGTTTATCATATGAATAGCTTGTAAATTTCGACACAACAAAGTGGCATGTACTATAGAATAGTTCTCAACATAACTCTCTTTGGAACACTGAAAGGAAGTACTTTTCTTGAACTCATTAGATTGGTTCAGAGGATATTTTAACATTAAATATATGTTGCAAGGTTTTTATTTTGACAGAAATAATCTGATTGTAATATTCAAATAAGTAGAAAATCAAACTTCTAGTGTCAGAAAACAAATAACCTTTTGCAAACTGAGGTATGTTTAGTTAGTTCAAGGAACAAAGCATTAAAAATTTAATACATACATGTTGGACCACAACATAACATGTTATTCAGACCAAAGGTAAGGCGTATTTTTATGTATTTATGCGTTTGCAAGTAAGTGTGAAAGTGAACACATGTAGTGTGAACTACTTTTTAGCTTGCATGCACTACCCCTTAAGCGGTCGAATTCATAAAACCATGCACACTAACAGTAATCAATCCACTTACCAGTGATTAATTTCGAGAAGTCGTTTCTGGAGTCTTAGTGAGAAGCAGCGACTAGAGGAGTCCAATCGTGTAGGGAGCGAGGCAGATATCCACCAATCCAATTTGACGTTGGCTACGCAATATCGTAAATTGACTTAACTTAGGGAAACATACCACTGGATATCAACACAGTGGTATGAAGGCTAAGTGCTCGTCCCGTTACCTAAAGATCCTAGTGGGATCGTAGTTGTGTGCTATTGAAGAGTCCTGTTCTAGAGCCTCAAAACTTCCTCGTTTGGCCAAGGGCGGGGAGAACCCATTCTTCCTCTTGAAATGCTTTCATATGGCCACGTATATATAAGCACTGTCAGGGAAGTCCTACTCATCGCCTTCTTGAGGCGAGGGTGTTGTTAACAAAATTCAAAAGAAGAAAAGTACATTTCCGTCTCTTAAAGCTGATTGATGGGTACGGAGGTTCCATCTAAGGCAGTTTGAAAACCTTGATTCCAAACCAGTGATACATATGAGCTATAAGATCCTAAGGGAACAGGTGTCGTATGAACCCATTGTTGATCACTGGCTACGATTGAACTTCGTCTGCTAACACTGCGCTACTCTCTTGTAGACTAGACCTCCTAATCAAAGGTAGTCCCCTAAAAGGACCGCCTGTTTCGGTTTTTTCGCTCGGTCGGTATCTCAGGCTACACACAATTAATAATAGTTGCGACTGAAAAAAATCGTGCTAGCTTCAGTCTTCATTCTCTTAACATATGCTCCCAACTGTTTGGTAACTTTCGTTTTATCTAACATTTTTTCGCTTATTTATTCCCTTTTATTTCCATTTTGTGCATATCTTTATTTTTCAACTCATACATCAGCTGGCCAATGATGGAAATCCTATCCTATGTAAACGATCTGAAGCCAGCAGCTGGTCGAAAGTTGATCGCTACTACCAAATACAAATTTTAAACTAGCCTTTCTGAAGCCATGTATGCTATTCAAACTGCTCTTCTATTTATTTGTTTGAACACATAAATACTGGTACAACAGGGCACCAAATATATATACGCTTACTTAATAAGTCCTGAAGAGATGATAGGCATAAGGTTTATTTCAGCCTCGGCTTTTCGTAAGTCTGCGTCTCTTAATGTTGCCTCACTTTTAATTCATTTGAACTCATAAACATTGGTACAAAGGGCCACCGAGTACATACACACAAGTCACTTGATTTATGTGAGAGCTATGCTATTGCCCGGGTGCCCAAACCGAAGCAGGTGGTTTCCTTGGAGGGCCACACCCGGAGCCTTCAACCTAAAGGTCTGATCCACAAGACAGTGAAGCAAAGTCAGGAAATGCAGTCTCACGGTAACCGGTGACCAACGATTGGTTCATATACCCTTTGTTCCTTCAGGATCCTGGAGCCCATGTGCACCACTGGTTTGGAATCAGGGTTTTCCAACTCCCCTAGGTGGATTATCTGTGTCCACCAGCCCGGTTAAGGCGCCGGACACTCTCTTTTCGTCCTCTCAATTTCGTAAACAACACCACCGTCACGAGAAGGCAGTGAGTAGAACTTCCGTGGCAGTGGTTGTATGCACGTGGCCATGTGAGAGCATTTAAAGAAGGGAGCAGACTCTCCCCACCCTCGGCCGTACCACAGCATTTGGGGGTCTCACTGCCTTGCATATTTTTCTACTTTTAGATCGTAAGCTCGGAGAGTAGTTTCATAAGAGAACTGCCTACTCTTACCTCACTTTCCGGACCAACCTCGTGCGTACAATATTAAGCCATTATTAGCCCAGTAGAGTTTACCGGTAAATCATACGCCTTCCTTTGTATTTGAAGAAGCCACTTCTAATTAGTTCAATATTTTCATTATCGACTCGGTGGTTGTCCACTGATATATTTCGTTATTGTTGATTTGATATATGTTTTTAAGCTCTACATGAGTATGAAGTGCTCTTGTGTAACATAGATCTTCGTTGGAACGTGTTAAGTTTGTCTTCTTATTCAGTAAATAGTTAGTGTCAGTTAATGGTGCACTGTCTCATTTTTCCCCCAAAATAACCCTCTTATATACTTAAACTGTTTTTTGTTCATCTAACAGGGACTTGATTTTGACTGTCCTCTTACACGACGTTGCTTCAATTGTCACTCTTTGACTGGATTAGAGTTTAGCAAATTTCAGTTGGAATTATTAAAACAACCTTCAAATTGTAAGTACCGCTTAATATATTATATAGCAAGGTAAAAAATATTCGAAAATTATATTTTGTGCTATTGATTAGTGTTTATACGCTATTTAATTTTGTTTTTAAACAGTTTTTTGGGTTTTTAATACTTCCTCTTATTCCCTTTTCAGATAATCCTAGAACAAATTCGCTTAAATAAAACATGCGTTCCGCGATCTCGTAATAAAAAGGGACAGGAATGGGGGATAAGTTATAGATAATATTTTGGTAGTTAAAGTTGAAAACTGTAAATGAATGGTGATTAAGATTTCATTTGTTTGCTGTAGAGTTTAGAGATCCTGGCTTCTCATAATGCCAATAGTTTTCATAAAAGAGAAAAGCAGTCGTTTCATCAGTTTCATGTGTTGTGATATTTGCTGAAAATTTCGAAAGTTATCGAGGTATTTAATCAACTGATACTTCGTCCATATCAGACTTATTTGTAAAGTCATCCTAGATGAGATAATATTTCGTTACGTTTCATAAAATTTGATAGATACACTGATCTTTTATCGAAGTTATAAACTCGTAAGACATAACATGTATCATCAATTAGAGAAAGTCCTTCATTTGACTGTTCACTTGTGCATAAAGTATCATGAAAGCTAGACCTATTGTCATAAGGATCAGTCTGAAATTGATAGTTACCGTAGTTTATTGAGATCAAAGCCTTTGAAAATCATTCACGTCCATGCTAATGAAACCTATCGAATTTCAGTACCGTCTATTCTGTATCTTACAACTTGTTTTTCACTCACTATATAAAGTGAAAAGACTGTATACTACCTGGACTGTAATGACCGAAACTGTCTCATGATTGCGGTGTTAAAACTATAGGGAATTCGGGAACTATTGAGAAAAACAACACTGGCCGCTTACTTTGTTATTTAGGGTCCATAGACACTGTGATAAAATCTTAACTTACTAAGTATCATGTAATTTGGTCCTGAAAATTGTTGGCTTTACGAAAACTCGCAGTATTGAATAAAGTCGTTATTACTATTTCGTTGTGAAAAAGCTAGTGGGGTCCGGACAAAGACATGACATTTGTTCATAAAAACATTTCAGGCGGATACAACAAATTACAAAGTCGAATAAAATCAACTACATCAGAGTTATTGTTTCATGAAATCTACGGATATCCAGTGAGTATATCACTCAAACTGATGTATGATTTAAACCCTAATTTATTTTCATGTGTAAGTAATTTAACCTGACTGGTACTTTAAAAAGTCATCTGGCGTTAACATAACCTTTAGCGAGCTGAAATATTCCACTTATTCTGATCAGTAAATAATAATCAAAGACAAGATAAATCATACAAATTATTTCTTCACTAATTGAGTTCACGCATAAGGTAATACCCTACCTTATTATCGCTTTTGATAAGTGTTTTTGGAAAGGATTCTGTTGTTTTGCCACTTACCACATAAAAAAATCACTGATAAAATAATGATAATGACAAGAATAATTTACCAATTTAGTGATAAATTTATTGCTGTCTCTCTGGATACATAAATCAGGTTTTGATTTTTTATTGCTGTTATTTTGACAAACCGAAGAGATGCTGCATTTTTTTGTGTTGATTATTTTGAATACGTCACTTACATTCACTTCATGTCTACTGTCGAGATGTTTGGCAATTACACTTGTGAAGACTTTATTCTTTTTCAGTGTTAGGTTCAGAAAAATCACTAACATAATTAACCACGGGATAAGTGTCGCATTGAAGGTTTCTTACCAGCCAGCAAGGCTGACGACGCTATTTGAAAGGAACTGCTCTCTCAAACAAACAAAAATTAACAGGTTTTCTTTTCTCAGTACCTCCAACTGCATTTATCAATTTACATGTACGTGCCAAAGCACATACATTAGTATAACAGAGAAAAGAGTGCATGTTGGCATTTTCGAACACATTACAAAGAACTTGAGACCGAGACACAATGGCTCTATAGAGTGCAATAGCTTATGAAATGTCAAGTAAATGCCTTTATTTGTTATTGTTTATTCCTAACACCGTACTACTGTTTATTCCCATAAATTATTGCTAGCCAAGAGTGTGAAAATAGATGGCACAAACCAAGATTTGTCTTCTCAAATTTCCCGAAGAATGCGACGTACAATGAATTCAGCTCAAAATACGCTCATCCAGGATGGATCACCTTTACCAGCTTATGGCAGCTGTAAGCACTATCGCAAAAGCTATCGATGGCTGAGGTAAGTCTAACATGCATCCCGTCAATGTTTGCTAGTGTTAAGCGTTTTCAACAACCTAGATTTCTATGCAAACTTCGGGCTAAAAAAATTTCAATCGTCGACCTTTCTCCATTCTCAATTTGTTTTCAGATGGTACACTGTTGAACAAACAATGTAGGCATCAATCACCTTGAATTACTTGTAATTAAACATTTAGGAATCAGCTTGAAAAGTTAATTTGGTGAAAAACCTTTCGATCTCTCATACATCCAAAGTGTATCCGATGTAGCATTCATAGGATTGTGGTGGTCGGTATTCGATATAATCCTTAAACTTCGTATACAGCTCGTCTTGATAACCGTTCTATATAACGTCCCAACGGTATATTAATCAGACGACAAATACGAAGTGTTGATTACGTTTATTACGAGACCACACACATATATCCAAATGTACAGATGCGTTAAACAAGCATAGAAGAGTTGTGCTGAAAGGCAAGCAAGCGAGCGAGAGCCATAGTAAAGCAATTTTGACACGTATGGAAGATGGCTGGGAAGCCAACTCCAATTCAAGCCGGGCATTACTCAATATTTATAGGCAGACAAAATAAACTACAGACATGTGATGAGTCATGGGACATGAAGTGTACACACACATACGCTCATATGAAAACAGTCAAGGCTAATAAGCGAATGATTAACAAGGTCAAAACATGACTCAGGCAGAATGAATAGAATGGAATGTCCGGAAAATAGAATAAGATATATTATGGGCTAAAACTAATGACTACACTACAGGATAACAATTAGCATCCGTATGTCTGAAATCAGAAACCTAAGCAGTATCGAAAAGAAGTTTAGTTAGCTAGACTTGATAACCAGCTTAACATTTGAAAAGTAGTACGCTATATATAGAGGACATGGCAGCTTACGTTTGAAACGAATGCTAGCAACATAAAAATTTACACAACGTTCACAAGCTTTATTATTTTGTCTTGAGAGAATAAAAGTGTATACAGTCGGCAAAAAACATGGCCTTATTGACAACAATATTCACTTGATTTTGTTTTACTTCTAAAAGGTTTCCTTGTTGTGGACGTCTGGAACCATGTGATGTCTGTCATGATAATTCTGCTGTTGATGGACACGAAATGGAACTGGCTACTCGTATGATTTGTGGGTTTTGTTCTAAAGAACAACCATTTTCTACTAACAAACCATGTGTAAGATGTGACAAGATGCTATCAGGAACTCGATCTTCACATTGGGAAGGTGGGAAAGGATGTCGTAATCAAGTAACTATGTCTCGAAAAGATTCAAGAAAATATTCTCATGTCAACAAGGTTATATCCAAGAAGAAAACCAAGCGAAGTAAATGATCAGTACATTTAAAACCGTTTACAGCTCTTTACAAGATTCAGTATAAACATGTATTACTTCAAAATTCGCAACATATAACAGCAAAGTAGTTCTAAAAATGGAAATTATTCTTTCTAATCTATGGTTCTACAATTAGTCGAAACTATTGTTCAAATACATCTCAAGAAATTATAGAATACGGATTTAAGATTTGCCTTACATATAACTATTCTCTCGAAACACTAATATAAACTCATTTCTGTGGAACCTGATGGTAATTTTTTTAAAAGAATATTTTTCTTCCACGTGTTTCAAATAGCAATTATTACCCACAGTAAGTTAACATTTCCGTGATATTCCAGTACATTTCTTTGTACATTAAACTTCAGAAAACAGAATCTAGTTTATGAGTTTGAAATATCACTTCCCTATGAACATTTATTTTATATTCATATTTTAAAAAAGATTATTGAATTGTCAAACAGATTCATTTTCCTGAATATTTTTTATTGTTTCAAACAACCAACTAACCATATTGTTTTATTTCTAGTTTCTTTATGTCTAAAAACACGAGTTTTCTTTACAAACTTCTTCCAATTCAATATCATGATAATCCTGGTGACAAAGATTTTATTTAATAGAGTATTCTGGTATTTACATAATTATTATGATAAAGCTCTTTTTTTTTATCTCCGAAAATTTAATTTATATAAACAAGTTGTCTTTATAGGAATTCAATGATCTGATTATTTGATTTCTATAAATTTAGTTTTATCTAGTAATATTTGGAAAAATGCATCCAAATAAAAACTAAAAATATGTCAAGAATCTCCGCTTAACCAGTATATTCAAATGTAAAATACAAATGTACAATAATTTAAACATAAAGTCAATAAAAATGATTAATTTCTGCTTTAAGATTGTATATTAAAAGTAACCTAGGTAGTTTGATAGTAAGTTTTGATAAATTTCTACAAATTATATAAAAGTTGTCTTTTTACTTAAAAAATATTTTTCGACTATGTTGTGGCAATTTTAAGAGAATGAATATAACATGATGCGTCATTTAATAGCTAGAAAAAAAAGTTTGCACATGTTTGCCAATCTGTTTCTATAGCATATATGAAATGTACAAGATATGGAGATGTGTAGAATGTCATTTATACGTTGCTTTTCAAAATCAATGGACTGTTTCCGCAAACGAGTGTGTATAAATTACGGAAAGCCGACGCATGATTGCTGGAAAAAGAGTAATAGAAGGAGGTTCATTATTTTAATAATGATACTATTTGACTTTTCTTACTTTGATTAAATTCATAGTAAAAAAAGGACGTTAGTGATGATTTAAGACGACTACAAATTACAAAATCTTTATTAACCATTTGTACACAAATATGCTTTGTGAAAAACACAAAACACTCTTGGATATAAAATTAATTTAACAATGTACACATGCGACAGTAAACCATTGCTTTCATTAGTGTTGTAATTTTTTTACAATCCTGTTATGTTCGTTAAACTTGAATGCTACTACTGATTCGTCTTACTCGGAACGAAACGAAGAATCAAGGATACAGAGACTCGATAGGCTATACTGGTCCGTTGTCCCCGACTCAGCTAACTCGACCCAGAAGTCTTGGTAAGATGTAGAAAGTGTATTCTACAGACAACCAGAAGATACCAGGTCCATCAAGCGTATTTATACAAAATATATATAATCGATATTGCCATGGAAGTTTTTAAACATTTAATCGATTAGTTCGTCAATCGACTATGTGTGTGGGTGGTAAGAAATGCCCAAGCATACATCTGCATACAAGCTCCACAAAGATAAAATTACAAAATATGAGTTTTGGGGATCTAACGTCCCCAACAAATCCCTAAAAAGTAACAGTCGTGCATATTTAAACAACGGGGATATATGTCGATAATATTTTACGTTAGAAAGATTTGTCAATAGACAAATGTGATATAAATTACTTAACAGCATATTAACTCAAGTTACAAGGACTTATTCAAACGCGATGCTCCGGGATGAAACGAAAATAATAATGACATTTCGGCAGTACTCAGGTGGATGTTATTTGCGAATTAATTATTAAAAGAAATTAATGCAAACTGCTTCGGAAAAAAGTGCAATTGTTAGCAATATAAGCGTATCTCAGAACCTTATTTTTATTTCAAATAATAATCTATTTTGAAGACACAGTACAGCGAAAACTTGAGAAGTTGATTTCATCTCTTGTTAAAATACACTGTTAATTTATATGATTTGGGAAGGAACGAACAAACAATTATTTAATGAATTTTGAAGCATGCTTTGTACAGTTACCTAAATGAACATGAATTTCTTCATAAGAAATGAGTTAATGTAATTTTTTATTTACACGCATTGAGAACTTTAGATGAATATTTGTGATTTAGTTAAATAAAACTTGAAATTTTTCTATATGATGTCATCCTTTTAGAGCATTCTTGGCTGATGCATGGGAAAGCAGTAAAACAAATGAGTGTTACATTAACACGTTGGTGTACGATGTCATGAATATACTTATAATTTCAGGAATACTGTCTACATTTGTTGATATAATTCGACAATACATAAATAGATTAGGTATACGGAAAGCATGGCTTCGTTAGTGAAACATACATGCATAAACTTGACTAATTTTAATGGCGAAAAGGTGTTATTTGACGATCCAGGTAATGCATAAAATATCTGGTTTATAAATGCTGTTTTTGCCAAAAGGGGATATTTAAAATCATATTTGTATCGCAAAATCAATTCGCTTAATTAACAGCAAAAAAGACTGATAGATTAACCTTCTAGTGGTATCTCTTCAAATTCCAGTATTATTATTCATAAAAATAGAAAAGCAAAAAACCGATAACACTATTTGCTATGAAATGTTTAAGTAGTAACCAAGTTAAAAATGTAACTAACATGAGAACACATTTCCTCATCAAATGATCACAGACTTACATCGTTTTTGTGAATAGATGATCCACAAGCAAATTAGGTAGATTTGCTTTAAAAGTGTTTAAAAGTTCGAGTTCTGTTTGGACAGATTCAAGCTCACTCCAAAGGTTTGTAAATAATAATGCTTGTTTCGCGCTGCCGTTGAATACACACATTTGAGGCCATGCCGTTAACGCTAATAAACGGGAAAATGCTCCCGGAGTGCTAGGACAGTTGCCTTCGGTTTATAAATGTGATGAAAAACATAAGATATATCTGACAAGACGAACGTTTACTTGAATCAGCAAAACCATAAGAATTGTTACTAGTCCTAGAAACTGGGACTCTGTTCTTTTATTAAAGTTGAGCAAATAAGGCTACTGAACTTTCCTTGTCTGGTCATGCTCTGATAAGTTTCTTGAGTACTATTAGTGTTTTAATCACATAGTTCACATTCATCCACTTTGTATAGCTCTCAGCATTCAGAGTATCATCGTTAATCCGGGGTAAGTGGGTCTTTGGTTTTCGAAAAATTTTATTTGGACGCTTACTATTTTACATTATATGTCATGATAATTGACGGAATATCAGCAATTAGAATACGTATCTGTCTATATTGGACTTATGAGACTACAATTTGGACGTTAGAAAATATAACGTAATGTATTATAAGTGGATTTACTGTATCCGTTTTATATTAAAATATTGCGATCAATTGATCTTATTTACTGCTCAGTATTAAAACAGGATGGAACAGTTCATTGTTAAATCGTCAGTTGCTGCGGAAATTAGTATAGCATTTCGGTTCCGCACTAGCACATATATTAATGCAAAGTAAGTTTCAATTACAGTATATGAATAGACTATGTTTAGGCTATAAAAAGAGGTCAAGTAGTAGCAGCGTTTGTACTTGTGAGATCGCAGCTGGCTACAAATTTATAAGGTTAAATATGATTTCCCTATAGATCCTATATTTCTCCTAAATAGGAGCTATAAAAGCTTAGGGTTGCCAAATGTGTTTTCACAATTCCTGCTCTACAACTGTATTATCGATTACATGTATAAATTACACAGTCATTACAAACCTGATAATACAAGTTTCTAGGGAACGCCTGCCAACTTTTTCTTACTTTAAATAAAATCATAGGTATATGAAACGCAATTCGGATGTGAAAGCAGTGATTTTCTTACCTATAGTCAGAAACGCTTCATATGGACTTGGAGGAGCAACTAGTTTAACTGGGTGTTTTGAAGCAAACCAGGCACTTATGGGATCATTATGAGTGAGAAGACCATTAAGGACATTCGTTGTTGACAAGTCGCTTGAATCAGGGTTCACCTTTGTCATCAGTAATTCCAACAGTTTTAAAATGAGGCTGAATCTTGAAAAAACGTACTGAATCCAATTAATTTCATCTTGACTGACTTTCTGTACATCTACATACAAATTAGTAATCAAAAGATAACTAGATATTAGAATTCGTGCGAAAATCAATAAGCATTCGTTGACAGAGTAATAACAAGGTTTGCAGAATAAGATGGGTTCATTCTGCTTCACAGTTTCTCATCAACTGCATACAGCCTAGAACTACAATTACTGATATGAATATAATTATTAACAAATGTTTAGCATTCTTTAGTTTGTAAAGTTCAGACAAGTGTTCAAAACATAACCAAGATTGTAATAATAACAGGGATACAAAGTGTGTGAATAAACATAGTTAAGGCCGTCGTGTGTTTATATGTTGGGAAATATAATAGTTAAGGGGTTATGTAAGGGTAATAAAACTAGTAATTGGTTGGGTGATCGCTGAACATGATAAAATAAACAAATGTGGGAACAGCCATCAGATTATGTAAGAGATGAATATTAGGTGGGGTACATGATTGAAAAAAATAAAGCTGACGAAAGCTACTAGACAAATATCCAATCACCATGGCAGGGAAAGACTAATCAAGCTTTCCTTCTGTATACATAGGTCAAGTCGGGGACATTTGATAGCGATCGCCTCTGCAAAACGGAATAAAATATATTTCCCATCTGTTGATTATTTTGAAAGTGTCTTTTACATTCACGTCGTTTCCACTATCGTGATGTCTGGCAACTGCATTTGTATAGAGTAATTCCTTTCAGTCATAGGTCCCTAGGAATACGTTCAGAAAAACTTGTAGAGAGCCTTGCCTCTGTCCTTCGTAAGTACATGTAGACCATGGGATCACTACTAGGGCCTGTCTTGGCCGATATATTCATGGCTAGACTAGAACAAACGAGACTGAAACAGTGAATCCATAAACAGCATACTACACGAGATATGTCAGCGATACGTTCATTATTTGTGATAACATGGACCACCGTTCTCGGTTACTTAGTCACTTCAAAAATAACACAACGAAAGAGATAACCAATTCAATTTTTTAGATCTTAGTGTAAAACGGAAAAATGATAGACATTTTGAGAAAAGCATATATAGGAAGTAAACATGGATAGGACAGTATTGGGACAGCTTTTATCTTATCAGTAACAAAAAGTGTTTGGTCAGAACGAGTTTCTATCGATATATCTCGGTGGATAACCATTTTTGATGAGGGTCTGTCGAAGATAAAATAGTTCCCCATCTATTGTGTCATTGGAACAAATTCGCCTGATCCTTGAGGATAAAGAATGAATTAAGTTCCTTTTCTACTTACTGGAACCCAACTGTGGAAGTTCGTGTATTGTCCATTCCAAGTGGGTTTTCTATGTATCGATCTCTGTAATAAACCGTCCGGTATTATTCTTAAATGGTATCTAGACCACATGACGGAGCACTGACAGCAGAGAAAAAACTCTAACTATGAATATGGAATTTAAGGGAGATACGGCTGCTGAAATCCTAAATAAACGGATTTCGAAATCATTGAATAAAACATTCCACGCAACCAAGCTTCGAATCATCTTCTCTAGCCGACCTACCATTTTGGGTTGTGTTAAGGACAAACTTTCGCTTTGGGCCACTTCAATGTGTATCTGTAAATTTACTTGCTCATGTGGGGCATGTTACATAGGCCGAACAAAGCGATCATTATCCAAACGCATCTCGGAACATTATCCGGCCTGGCTCTTGAAAGGGTAACGAAAAACAAACACGTGTTCGATATAGGAGCACTTAATCAACTGTGGACATATCGCTCCAAAAGACTCTTCCTTTAAGATAGTTTACAGAGTCAAAGGAACTGGATCGAAGGGGGTTCGAATCAAAATTTTATGCACCGCAGAGGCATCGGCAATCCACAAACTAAAGCCTGAACTTTGCGTGCAGAAACGATTTGTCCAACCTCTCATCCTTCCCTGGCCCTAATTCCCTCAACTGGTAAGTTTCTAGGTGTTTTTGTTTTGTTTCCTGCACTTTTATTATTATCTATATTTTTAAATTACTATTTTGCACTTTAAACTCTAATCATTTATTATTATTACCTTTTACAAGTTTTCTTGATTATCATTCAGTTTATTATTATGATTTTTGTTGTTTTGTCGTTTTTCTTCATATCTGTCAATTGAACTATTATCTGACCCATAAATTTTGTTCTTCCTTACCCCTTGATTAGCACGTTAACCTCATTTGTTATTTATTGTCGAATCCATTTTTTGTGATGCAATCCTTTTATATCCTTCTATAGACCTACATTTTCCATATAACTATATATATGAATGTAAAGCTTAAGTAAATGATTTCGTCGAAAAGAAAATTTTCTTCGCCGAATTTTCTTTTTCTTATTTAATGACACTATGGGTTATTTTAATTATCCAAAAAATGGGTACCCGAGGTAGTTTATTACATTAAGACCTGAAAAACTGGATTGGTTATCTCTTGACATTTTTCTCTTGAAGTGGGAAAATTTATATGATATCACTACATTAAAAAAAACTCATATACGGTTATCAGACTAATGATTATAATAAAACATGTGTTTCATATTGTTGGTTGATGAATCATGAGTTTTGAACTTTAATTTATAAGTTTCTTACAAAAAGAATGTCACTGAAATATATTTTTGCTGTGGCAAGCAGATTCTATACGTCCCCGTTGAGGTGTGGAATAAAGTACCTAAATACACTCTTGTGTGTATTTGGCAATTGTTTGATGGTAAGGACAGTTAATCTCTTTTGCTGTAATGGTTATTCAACTTTAGTGAAATGTGTTTACTCGTTTCATATCGCTACAATACATAATTTTTTACTCCTTACTAAAGCTCCGCGTGTCGCATAATTGCTGTATTATTTTGACAACCAGTCTATTTTTTAAACATTTATTTGAACAATTTGGTATTATTAACTGGAGTGACCAGGGTATAGCAATTTCAGGTCGCTTTTTGTCTAAGAGAAATAAAGAAACCTGACTTTTATTATTGTTAGTTTTATGCAGAATTCCTGTGGTATTAGCCGATATTTTTATCGACGATGTGAGTGTAAACATCCACTTTCGAATGATATTGAAATTAATGGTGACCCTGGAAAACTGAGTGTAAATCCATCAGTCCGTGAAGTGATTTCGAACGAGCAGAGTCACTGACTGCTGAATTTTATATTCGCAAAGGTTTGCAAATACTATATATATAACAATGTAACTCTTTTTGGAAAGGTTAACTGGAACACAACTAGTGAGGGATCTAGCTTACATTAAATCAACTGGGACAGAGAAGTAAATTCAAAAACATTCATCTAACGGTTTACATCTTGTTAAAATTAATTTAATTCACGTAAAAGTCGCTTTACATTAGATGAAGAAAATTGTAAAGGGTGACGGGCAGAAGCGTTGTGTATCTAATCACGAGCATTAAGATGAACTTCGTTGAAATTGATGTAAATAAGTCGGCTTACAATTTCATGTAGTAGTACAATGAAACGTATGGAGTATATGAAAGGGATAGAATATATAACAGTAAAAAAATCATCCGGTTCTCCGGAAAAAGTAAAAACGGTAAACCAGAGAAAATGATCCTTTTGAAGTTCATTTGCATTATTACCCTTACGTCTTTTTGAACCGGTGACTAAAACCATTTTGAGTTTCCTGACACGACTTAGCAACTTTATGAAATGCTGTTATATAACTATTCTAGCCAAATTGCAGATAATATTACGTTTTCGGGGTCGGTGTGCATAAGATGATTATTTTATCAACAACCACAGTTGCATTAACCTTAGTGAGCTTGCAAGTTCTGATTCACTTGTGTTAAACCTATAAAGCTTAATTGTACGCGTATTGGCCAAACGAGAATTACTCAGTTGTACCGTAAGGAAAAGAACAGTCTATCGAACTGATCACGAAAATTTTTATAAAGTATACGAAATTAAAATTAAGTAGTTTTACATCTTCTACGAAAGTGATACAACCACATCTTCAAAATTTAATAAAATAAAATTTTAACAGCTGAAATTAATCTATTTAGTTATGATAAATAATACTCACCAATGAAACTCACAAGACTAGTGAATTTTTCGAACAAAGTGATGGCAAAGTCACACTTTTGAATGGCAAAGCACATACTAGAAAACAGTTTGGATTCCATGGGGATCTGAGGAAAATATTAAAAAGCAAGGTGTAGAACACTGACGTTCCGAAAATTCATTAATACAACACTGTCGAAATCATAAATATAAATTAAAATTGCAATAACTGTGGCCAATTACATAATTTACGTTGGGTTTTCACGTAGAAGCTAAAAAATATAACTGCACAATTATTGCCGGTAAACCATTACACTTTATTATGACGAAAATGATATAAACTTTAAGTGATAAACCCAAAAATTTAAGAATTAAAGCTCTCTCAAAACTTTCAGTTTGTATTGTAAAAAAGTGGTGCAGGTGTCCTTAAGCCTACTATATGTTAAAAAATTGGAGTATCCTTAGACCAATCGGAACATTATTGCCAAAACTTACAATCTAAATTGTTATTCCAGCGACTAAGAATAAAATAACAACTCACCAAATATATTTCGATTCATTCTGATTTAAGGGCTATTAATACTACTCATTTGTCCAAATTAAAGTGAAGTGGGATACGGACATGAGAACTTACGGTAGGAAGATAAGTTCTAAATCACTAAACCATCACTACACACTAAATGTTGTTAGCTTCTATGTTATGGCACATATCAATCCATAATCAGTAAAAAATATACAGCTGCACAGGGTATATAAGTTCATTTGAGAAATCCATGTTTTTCCACCACTCAAAGCTTACACTGTTACCAATTTTCTTTTAAAATTATTTTTCAAATACGTATATCCATCAAATAGGTGGAAAAGACACTGTCTCATTTAATTAGGTAGACAATTTTCTAAAACCGGATTAGATATGCCTAAGGGTGATCAACCTGTTTTTTTCAAAATCAGGTACATCTTGTGTATATTAATTACCAGATTGTTGAGATTTAACCACGAGTGTGAGTAAATAAAACAGACCTTGAACATCAAAGCCTAATGTTAATTAAACTTCCTATCAAGCCGGTTTCGGCACAGAAATCGGTTTAAATTGCGACCAAATGCTTGGGTAGCTAAAGCATGAGACACCTATCTACATACCTTTGAGAAAAAAACTACTAGGCAGACAACTGATTTGAAAAAATTAGCTGAAAAATAATTGGTCTAATAACGGGTTGATCTAACTTAAATATACGAGCACTTATAGAGGTAAATTTCATGAGAATCATAATACCAGCAGACAGTACATTTACGCGTAAATTTGTTACAACACTGACCTGACAGCACAGTAACTTGGATAGTCAATTAAAAGTTGTCAGCTAGATAATCATATGATTAATTTAAGTTTATGCTGTAGTGATGACAGTGATAATCAGTAAGTTTATAAACTAAAAATCTATTCTGGGAGGTATTAAACGCAATTACACTACATAAATGTGATGCACTAATATTGCGCATGCACAACGTTAGATATTCTGAAAATTATTAAAACTCGAAATGTTAAAGCTTTGCTGAAATAGTTGCAAACATTCTTGCTTTACAAAGATTACTTCTATACTCTTTAAAGTATTCAAATCCCTCAAGGCAAGTGGGAACCTGAGAAGAGGAATCATAAGGAGTTAAATTAGAATAACCATCATGTCACGAAGAGCACCCTGGACATTTCCCACAATTCTACTTAATTTAATGTTATGTAGGTTATAAAAAATGATAGGCATGTCCAACTGGGATACTCACGTTTTTAAAAAACTGAACTATAATACTTCTATCTTCCGATCTTAATAATTGCCTGGTACGTGAGATCGAGAGCCACAAGCATGAAACACTTTTATTATATTTTTCGATTAAAGCAGCCTGCTGATGGGTTTGATATTGGTAGCAGTCACATGTAGAAGCTGGATGGCATAATAAATTTCTGTTACAGTTAGGTTTATATAAGAACCCACATATCTTCGAAAAAATTCACTTCTGTGTGATTTTCCTGTTTAGTACTGGTTTCATTGATCTTTTTTATGGTTCTGTCACTCATATTTTTGTTGTCCATCGTTGGTGGAAATGATGCTACTGGCTGTCCTAATGTAAATAACTTTTTACTAAATGCTGAAGGTGAGACTACGTATCACGTGATTACCGGTTTGGTATGTGCAAATCCGTTTTATAGGGAGCTTTATAGTGGGCAGGAATATATTTCCGCTGCTTTGTTATAGGTCCGCTGCTATCAGGTCTCGACTTCTTTATACAAGTGTTTCCATGACACATTTTCAGGACACTCTTGCTAGGCCTATCTACGGAGATAGGCTCCTTTTTTGTCTTCTGTGGAGAAAGAGTTAAGTGTGCTTTTTGAAGAGCTTCTTCTACTTCCCTTATAAGCGCGCTATCAGAATCGACATCATAGGTATTGACTGTTTCTTTGTTATCAACTTGAACCGCAATTTTAGCACATGTGCATTTATTTCCCCTGAAGTTAAATAAAAAAGATTAAGTAAGATACTTATTCGAAAAACGCCTAGAAAGATTGTATACGGTGTTAAAAGATTGTTCGAAACAGTTAAGTTTCCATTCAAGGAGAGAAGCAATATCCATACAGCTGGACCAACTGTTTGAAAGTAAGAATAATAGGGTGTTTTAGACTCCACGTATATAACCTTGGTGGAGGGAGAAAACCATATTCGTTAACAACTACAAGCAAATGGTTATGATTATGACAACATAGGATGACCTTGAAGAGTCAAATCTTCCTCTGTTATACTAACGCAAATGAAAGTGGTGATTTTAAACTTGACTGTTGTCAAGTAGAACAACGACATATTTATTCCCCGAGACCTGCATATAGGTAGTACTTTTGTGTTTTTTGCCACAGAAGAGTTTGATTTTCGTCATATTTCCTCTAGAAATGGAGACGGAGGACAAATTTTTCAGTAGAATTAATCAAATGTTTCAAATGGTTGTGGACTGAATAAAAGAAGCTTTCGCTTAACAGGCTTCCGTATCTAGTAGTAGGGGATCACCAAATCCTCCAGGCAAGAACCTAGGTATGTTGACAATAAAAGAGGTAAAGGAACTAGTAAATCATAATGTGATGCTGTCCTTGGTCCTTAAGAATAGGTCAAGTTGCCTCTTGAAGGACTCCTGGGGAGTCGCTTAGACTAGCTCGGCCGGCAGCGAATTCCAGCATTTGACAACTCTTAAGGAGTAGAAGTTGTGTCTACATTCCGTCTTGCTATGTTGTGTTTCCAGTTTCTGGGTGTTACCCCTTAGGTTATTATTCGAACTAAGCTTAAGTAGGTGTTTAAGAGGGTGTCCAGAAGTGTTAAGAATACTATAAGCTATTAACAAATCACCTCGAAGACGCCTATACTCTAATGGGTAAAGGTCTAGTGACTGGAGGCGTTCTTCGTAAGGTTTAAATATCAGTCCTTGAACTGATTTCGTGGCTCGACGTTGGATACGCTCCAGGGTGTACTTATCCTTTTGGAGTGAGGGGGGAGTACGATGTTTCCGTACTCTAAATAGGGACGGACGAAACTATTGAAGATTGTATGGAATGTTCTTCTGTCAAACTGGCTAAAGATGCGCTTCGATCATTAGCACCTAATGTAACCCCCTTAGTTCTTACAGAGGTGAAGTGAACGTGAATTCCTCTTTGGAAAGATCAGTGTAGCGGTAAATAAATCCACAAAACAAATAGCTCTGTAAGTTTTCGACATTGAATGCTGACCACATTAGTTTTAATGGACTCACTTAGCTGAAGGCGCTCGGTCATTCATCCGCACCAGATCACGAATGGGAACAGCTGGGTTGATAGTTTATAAAATATGAAAGTAGGTGGTTTTAGTAGGAATCATGTTCTCACTATCGCAGTTGGCGCGCTTTATGAAGGTTGAGTTGCGGCGAGCAGCTGATGGTCGAGAATGAATCCATGTGATGTTGGAGGCTTCTAGAGACTGCAACCTAATATCCCTGTGAAACATCCGAGGCTTTGATGATGGTGCAGGATGAAGTCACCCGTTCCATACTCTCTTCAGTGGCATATATCAAGGGGGCGGAAACATGGTGCACGTAAAGACAGGATGAGAAGCGGAGCAGACAATCTTCATGAAAGAATAGTTAACTTATGACTACTCAGTTTAATTCTCTCCCTAATTAAGGTATTTATTGGGCAAGGGCATTCTAACATGTTAAAGGAAATAAGCGTAAACAAGGTATGGGTGGATAAACAACTGGCAAATGGATTTGGTTTAGAAAGAAGATGAAAGTATGGAATTATGTGTAGTTATACAATATAGTGCAGAAAACAATATTCTGATACACAAATAACTGTCCCTCATCTTTTGTCGGGGCTGTTCGAGCCATTTTTTGTAGATTTCATAGAGTCCTGAGCAGGCTTCGTTCTTAGCAGATTGTCTAGTTTGCTTGTAATAGGATAACGCGGTAGGAAGTGAAACCGATTCAGCGTTCTAAACGTGTTTTAGTGAGGGTATTTCGCGTAATAAGTCGGCATCAATACCATTGGTTCGTGACATTCCATTGGATCATATGGAGTTCTGGCCTACAGACATGGATGAATTGAAGTTATTTCCTCACCATCATGTTTGTTAGTCAATAACGCCACCCTCCCTCCTTTTGTGATGTTAGACTCTCTTACGTTTGTGGTAAGTATGAATATTGCCTTAATCAAAGCCCATAATTTGAATACATTGACTCTACTAGTTCCACGTCACAGGTAAATCAGATAATTAAAGCAATTGTATTATGAGTGACACATCCATTTAGTATGTCACATTGCTATGAAGATAAATAATGGTAAAAGTAAAAAAAGGTTGAATTATATGTGATTTAAAGATGGTAAGACTAATGGCAAAGCATAGGATATGAGAGATTATAAGATTGTAAAATATTGAAGGTAATAAAAATAAGACATTGAGCAACTGACAAGAATTCAGAAATATTCATCTATATGTAAATGAAGTTATATGGACGTTCAATATTACTTACATAGACTTTATCAAGTAGATCAGATAAGCTTTCTTATTTAAATTGAATACATTTGCTACGTAATGCCTTATAGTGTGGTCTATCTTTGTGGAGACGTTATTTGTTCCGAGAATGACTTCAGTCACGTTGAATTATTGCACTTGACTTTAACCAGGAAGGTATAGGGATTTTAGCATGTGACAGGCAAAATGGGCGTGTCAGTGGACAGACTGTAGCAGGCTGACTTTTTTAAAACTCCACTAATCAATCATGTCTGTCACTTCCATCAGAATGTCTATCGGAGGTAAGTCCTTACAGCTTAGTAATCAAGCTTATCGAGATGGTGGAGAAGATTCGTAGCTCAAGTGGATGATGTTCTCTAAGCTGGAGAACAAAACTCCACCAAAATCAAGCTAGTTACCCATTTCAAGCCCCTAGAATCAGCACCCAATTTTTAATCATCATTTAGAGAGAAGGAATAAAGGACAGTACGATCATCCAGCATTGATGGGTGGGAGAAATTCATTTTGGGAGCTTTCTAGAATACAGAGCTTGACCAGTAATGCATGTAATGATCTTTAAGAAACACGTATGAGCTGGAAGTGGAACAATATATTTGATGTGAAGACCGAAAGTTCGCATGGAGTAACCATGGCTGTATGGCCGAGCCATGCCATCTTGACGAAGTATTCCTGTGTTGACGTTTTTGGCCCTCTACAAATATAACTCTTTCGGTTATTGTATGTTCATCCTCAGAGATTATATGGCTAGAAATCGGTGTTAATAAAACCTCCCTAGTAGCCTTAATAAGTGAACTGGTCAGGAGAGCCGAGTTTATAGGCGTCCTTCAAAAAGCGTTTACCAGACAATAGATACGGAATCACAGCGCGCTGCGCAAGACGTCTCAGTGAACTTTTCCGCAAGACAAAATTTCAGGGGCTCTGTGTTAGTTATAAACATAAAGAAAAACCTCACTACCTGCTGTGTTAAATTTGTTGGAATTCTTAAGAAGAGCGTTTGCTGTTTGTGACATCTTTGGCAAGCCAAGGTTTGTAGATGGTCACAACTGATTGATCATTGGGTGGTGATCAATGTCATATGTGTCATGTCACTCTTTGTGCAGATCGAGTGCTATCGGCCAAGTTGCATTTTGGCCATTAGACTAAGTGTCTTGACATTGTGTGCACTATTTTGAGATAAGATGGTGATTGGAAGTGAATAAATCTTGGCCCCACAGGAGGTCACTCGCGGCCCGGATAGGCTGGTGGTATCGTCTCTGGCTATGAAGCTGGGTGACACAGGATCGAATACGTCATGGAGGACCGGTTCTCTCAAGATTACAGGTACATCTAGCTGACGAGTGCCAAACAGAACGAAACCCGGGTCCAAAGTTTCCTGTTGATTACCCCCAACCACCGTTTGTAGATGGTCTTTAAACATGGAAGTCTGCCGCGCAAAAGTTCCTTGAGCCCAGTGACTTGCTATAGTAACCCTCTGACGCCACTATATAGACAGTCAATAAGTGCGGCACAATTTCAGAGCACTACTTGGAAATGGTGAGTCACGTTGAAAGTGACATTTTCATGTAGCTTAATTTTTCTTAGATGAGCTGACTTACCTATGTCTTTCAGAGCAATGTTTGTTTGTATTATCTGTTATTACATAAACATTTCGAGTAATTTAATAGAGTTCTAAGTCCAGACTTCTCTACTTAATCGTTCAGTTGTCAGTTGCAAGCTGATTAAGGAACCTCACAGTAGACTTATTATTATTATTCACAAACATTTGACGAGTACATAAGTGTTGTGAAGAAACCGTTTCGGGTTTCTTCAAAAATGCCAAGATAATAAGTTTCAATAATGTTATCATTATATTCGCCATATTTGAAAAAAGACATTACTAATAATAAACCAGGTTTTGTGTAATTGAGAAGGATATTGAGTTGAGCTTAAAGAAGGAAAGGAAGAAAATAAGGGAATAGAAATAAAGGAGATGTGAAATATGCAAATAATTTAATAGGCACGTTTATGAACACAGAACAAGAATAAACGACCATCCATGTATCGTCAAATTAGTAGCGAAAATAAAATAGACAATAACTAAGAAAAAATAACTTATTATTACAGTAAGATATGACGCCAGAATAAACGTTTGTGCAGCCATAGTTTGGAGTGATCAGGTGAAAAGGATAACGAAATATCAACATGTACGAAATATATGCATAATGAAGATAAAACGAGTCTGAGAAGTTAAGTGTAATACAAGTTATTGTCTTAGTTACAAATGTGGTAGTCTTAGGGTGATATTTATTTAGAAGGGAAAAAGAGAGAGAAGAGAAGTGGACACCTAGTGAAAGGGTTCAATCATAATAATAATTTTGTCATAAATACCGACCTCTGAAGTAAACCGACAATTTATAAAAATAGAATAAATCCTTTAGTGCACTCGGATAAATACATGTGGACTTATGAAATAGTATGCAGAGTGAAACCGGATATTAATATAAACATTTGTGCAATAATAATTAAGAATGATGTCATGAAAGTCACAATTAATTGCGAAGGATAATCAAATACAAATTTCTGTGTTATATTTATGTGATGTTAAAATGAATCTGAGAAGTTAATCTATTTTAGTGTACCGTGAGATAATTTGTTTTTCATTATAGACTTTGGATTTTTAGGAATAATATATGTTTTGAAGGATAAGAAGAGATGAAAAGAACATCTGTAGAATTATGGTCTACTATGATATTAGCACTGCTCTTATAATAGACCTAA